TCAAAAGAAGGTATCTCCTATCTGGCATTGTTGCTTGTTATGTAGCCTTTAGCTATGCATATGGACTCTTAAGAAATTATATTGCCCTTTTAATCTTTGGTTATACTTTCCTTTTGGGTGTTTAAGGCCATACAGTTGGACAATTTATTTTCACTCTTAAGGTTGTTTGAGGATCTGTTCCTCAGGGGTCACATGGGCTTGGGAGGAGCCCCTGGCTCCTTTTACCAGTTCTGTCCATGTGAAGGTAAGTCAAAGATCCTGCTCAACCATGGTTGGCTTCGCTTGGAAGCATGAAGGAAATGATTCCTCTGTGTTGACCCTCCTCTTTGTAGACTGGACACTGGTTCAAGTCCATCTGGTGGGGTCTCCTTGGCCTCCTTGATCAAGAGGACAGCTAACTCACCACAATTACAGGACATTTTGAGAGATGCTCATAGTCCCCTGGAACTAGTTGACCTAGGAGGGCAAAGAGGAAAAACTTTCCTTTATGTCCCTCTGACCAAATTATTATAGGCCTCAAAGTATGTCTCTTATTGAGAATTTCATACATGCATATAAGGTGTTTTGGTCAAATCCGTGCCCACTCCCTCCCCTCCAACTCCTCCCATTTCTCCCCATCACTTTTTTTCTGACAACTTTGTGTACTCTTTCTTTTTTCTTTGTTTTCTTTTAATGGGGCTTTTTGCTACTCTAACATTCCCACCTCTGAAGAGGTAACCCTAAAATCTTTTAGGTATTGGATAAGAGCTCCCAAATACTTTTTGACATTTTTGGCCTTTGGAACAGAGTATGTTGCTAAGAGGCCCAAGGACATTTTGACTTTTAGCCAAGAAACTGGCTACTTTTCTTTGGGGTCTTTTTACCCTAACTGCCCAGCCAGTTCCTACCTCCTATTCTTACCATGCCATCCTCTGAAGAGGTTACCCAAATTTCCGAGAAGGAATCGGGACGCAGACCACTCTGGCTTCTTCCATGCTGAACAGGGACACAGGGTGAGGCAATTGGGGTAACCCTTCAGTGGGTCTATCTAAAAGACTCCCAAATGGCATAACTCTTATCTGTAGGGAGAAAAGGAAGTCTTGACTGTTGAATAGGGAATGTGAATGAAAAGTAAAGGCAAGAGTAATTAGCTTTACAAGTTCTAGACAGGGAACCAGAAAAAAGTCAGAACAGGGCAAATTTCAAATGTTCATATGAGAGTCCATTGGAATTTCTTGACAAGAGCTTCCAAAATCATTCCTCCATTGGGTTCCTCTTCATTTTTCTTTTGTCTGCCAAGGCTGGACTTGAGAGTGATGGACTCAGGATTTGTTTTCAGGCACTTTGATAGCTGTTGGAGTGGCTAGAATCAGTGTCTGTTTCCTCTCAAAGGCTTCTAGACAGGGGGAGAGAAACAAATTTATCCATCATTTTAGAACAATCACTTGTTGTCTCCCTTAGCTACAGGTGGGAACTACAGTATTGGAGACCAAGATTTGAAGTCTTACATCTGAGCAGCATTTTCTGCTTAGAAACAAAATCATCAATGAGAAATAATTGTCTAAATATCATTTTATATGGACCTAGGTCTACTATCTGGGAAGTTTAATCCATTGAATCCTTAAAGAAATATACTGATAACATTAATCTTTGGTTATACTTTCCTTTTGGGTGTTTATGACCATACAGTTGGCCCAACCAAACCAATTTATATTTACTCTTAAGGTCATTTGAGGATCTGTTCCTCAGGGGTCATGTGGGCTTGGGAGGAGCCCCTGGCTCCTTTCTTTTACCAGTTCTGC